TTCCATGCTTAGGAGTCGTTTACTTAAAGGTAGGTAAGAATGGAGAAACCAGCTCGAGTGCGCTAGAGTTTGAAAGTACGCAGCCGAAAAAAATCTGCCCCTTCCTTCAGACTTCCTTACAGAGCCCCTCCTCCAACACACACGAACGCGCACATGACCAATGAGGGCACGAGATAAGTTTGTGCACAGATGGAAGGCTGACAGGCAGGTAGGCCATCCAGTTATTTTAGCCGGGCCGGCTCAGATGATTGGTCGTGCTTTTTACAGCGCAACGACTTCCACAGATGACAATTTTTTAATGTATTTATTGTCAAAGCATTTAATGTATTCATTGCTATCGGGATGTTAAGAGTATTCCATGGAATATAACAAAAAGTGTTTCTGAAGTTAATTACCTACCCCACCTTTAAGATAAGGATCTGAATACTTACTCAAATTGTATCAAGGCTTAACATTTAATGTTTACTGCTGCTTTTCTGAGGTTGTTTAAAGATAGTATATGATCATACTTCTGAATCCTATAAATTCATTGTATTTCAAATTATTATTATTATTATTATCATTGTATTAATAGTATCTCCCTATTATGAATGGTCTGAATTTCGGTTTCATTTGTTGCATGCGAGTCAGAATGCAAAGCACTTTGAATTGCTTCTGAAAATGCTTTAAAAACAAACCCAGCTCACCTTACTTTACCTTACATGTCCTGACTGGTAATACCGGGAAAGAAGGGAGGAGGCCTCTAATATAGATTAATAATTAAACCGCGCACAAGCAGAAAGGATAAAAGAAAAATGCTTACAGGTTGGCAAAAGTATTGAATTATGAAGAAACAAGTCCAACAAGGACAAGACATGTGAGCAACTGTAATTCAAGCTGTTCTGTGTTTTCTTTTTAAATATATAACACAAGTTACTTTGCATTTACTGCCACTTGTGTCTGTGTTCTGCCATATCTGTGTGTTTTAATGTCATTTATATCGTTAATTTAAAATGTTTTCAGTCCAAGGACCCCTCAGCTGAAATAAATAAAGTGCAGTGTAAATATCATGTAAAAAATTAACAATTTAAGTAAAAAATTAAGTAATCGGTGGCCTAAAGTGCCATGAGTAAACAAACCTCATGGTCTCAATTCATACAGGGTAATGTAATGCCCTCTAGTGGTGAAATATCTGCATGACATTGGAAAAAGGGTATGAAATAATGGGCTGGATTGTCAATGTACTTAGAAAACTGGGTTTATTGACATCAAATCTGAACTACATATACATGGAGGAAATACATTTCATTTCCCAGATATCTTCTCTAGTGGAAAACACATGACATGCTAATGTTTATCCAACCTCCTCTACGTTCTCTGGAAATTGAAATCACACCAGAGCAGAGAATAAAAGCAGGAAACACATCATGAAGCTGTGGAGCCGTTTGCTGCTGGTACCTCTGTTTGGAGTTGTTCTTGTTGTTGTTGTTGTTGCTGTTGTTGTCTTTGTGGTAGTCGGGGTTGATGTGGTTGTAATCATTGTGGTGGGTGGGGTTGATGTGGCTGTTATCATTGTGGTGGGTGGGGTTGATGTTGTTGTTGTTGTTGGCAGTGTGGTTGAAGGTAAACCTACGGACAATAACCAAAAGGACCGACATCAATGACATTTCCTCTCATGTAATCTTTGATTAGGTGTATCGTATCAACTGCAAATGGAAGATGATGAGGGCCACATGCTGAAAATGTATTTGAGAATAAAGTCAGATTTAAAAAAAATTAAATTCAGATTTAAAGGCTATTGAGAAAATGTCCTGTGGCCCCAACCCTCTTTCCAGTTTTGTTAAAACATTTGTTGTACTTGGGTTCAAATGGCTCCAATATATTAAGTTATGTTTTACTTTCAGACAGTTAATAATGTATCTATTCAACAATGTTCCCCATTCCTTGCCTTGATATACATGGACACACTCATTTTGTTATCACATACACTTATCACATGAGAAAGGAAAGGGAGAACCCCAAAAAGCATGATAGGGCCCCTTTAACTTACCTTGGACCGTCACGTTAAACTCAACAGTGATTGATCCTTTTACATTGCTGACGTAACAGGTGTACGACCCTTCATCTTTACGAGTTATAGATTCGATGATGAAGACGCTGCCATCGAAGGGGGAAGTGATTCTTGACGGGGGCGTCCATGTATACGATGGTGGGGGGTTTCCCACAGACGAGCAGTTCAGCGTCAGACGGTTTCCTTCTGTGATGATGATCGGAGGTGCCTCTCGCTGAGGCTTATCTGTGAGTGGATTGAGGAGGAAGGCACAGATACATTCAACTTCTGTAAAAAAGCACAATTAAATTGACAAACAAGCACAATTAAAAATGAATTAGTTAGTAACCAAATTATAATCTAAGGGAGTCATTTGAGGGATTTTCTTTGCATAGATAATTGTTAGGAAAAATATCACTCGTCACCGGCTTGAGCTTCAATATCAGGATACATGTATTTATTATCCTTGCAAGAATGGAAGTAGTCATCACATACGGTACATATGGTTCAACTCCTGAACAGTGTCCTTCACATGCTGATATACAAGAGAGAGTCACAGTCACAAGACGGAGGAATACCGGTTCAAAGCAGTATACAATGTTTAGTTCAGATTAGCTAAAGCCTGCGTAAGCAATAAACATGACAGTCATATGTCTATCTCCATAGAGGCTGAGTCATCATGTTAATCACATAGCTATCATATGCCTAAAACAGTCCTGATGCTCTTCTAGGTAATCAATCATACATCCTGTTACGTACACAGCTACAGTTGGGCCTTTGTTATCATGTGTACTCTGATATTGGAAGAGTACATTCAGTAATTTCCCAACAATCATTTTCCTAAGTTACTATTTTTGTTCATCTACAGGTCAGTGTAACGTTTTGGGAGATGGAACTGGTTTGTTATAGGTTTTTGTAATATACATGTTCACCATTTTCTAAATAGGAATTGTGAATGATTCAAATAAAAGTCCAGGCAAACAAACATGACAGTAAAGTAACTTGCTAACACAGGATATATGTTTCTTTGTTTTTAGATTTTATGGAGGGCTTTGAGAAATGTAAGCTCCCCTGCAGGACACATGCATTTAGTCCCATTCTGAACACGAGGTAGAACTGCACTGAGCCCCCTATGGGCCGAAACAACAGAAACAACAGAAACAACAGACATACAAAAGTAAAATGGCAAATACTTACTTTCCTGTTTTGCAATTGGGCTTATATAATGGATCACCCAAATGTATTTGTTATCTCACTTGCCTTTCAAGGCTTCCGTAAATAAATTTAGATCGATTAATCACTTTTTATATATCCGAATATCATAAATTATGCATTTGCATCAGGGTGCTTTACAGACACCCTCCGTCATTAGAAACGTGCAGCAATACATCACAAACTCCCTGAAACCTCCAAAACATATTAAAATGACAGCATAAACAATGCAAATAAATGTAATGATAAAGAAGATTATTACAATGCGTAAATAAATAAGTAATAATAATTTAGTCGGACTCACAGTGGACTGCAGCAGTGACGTTCTCTGACTTCCCCACTGGAGGAGGCTGGGGTCCGTCAGCTCCCAGCTCCAGCTTTGCTTCACACCAGAACTGGACTCCATCATCTTCTTTAGTGGAGGTGATGTTCCAAGTGAAGACCTCACTCACTGGTTTCTCATCTGTGTTGCTGCTCTGCGTGTGACCCAGTGCCGTCTGTCCTCTGTAGAAAGTCACTGTGAGGTTTTTCACAGGAGCAACATCCCATACTTCACACTGCAGAGTGTACTGCCGACCCTCAGACATCGGCTCATCAGGTTGAACGCTGAAGGAAACATTATCTGGAGGTTCTGTGGAGACAAACGGACACCTTCAGTATCTCCATGAAACATAATTAAAGCCCCTACTTTGTTAGATTAGAGGTGGACAAACTGTTTTACTTATGAGTAAAAGTATTACAGTTTAGACTTATTCTCTCCCGAATAAAAGCCTTGAATTATTCTTGTACAAAGTACAAAAGTACAAGAATCAAAAAGCACTTATTATGCAGAAGGCCTTTTGAGATGAATATATCATGTCATTTGATTATAATGAGTGACACCGTCATCATTTAAATTGTGCAGCTGGTAAAGGCGTAGCTACATTTAATGACTTTTTATCACTTATAGTCAGTCGGAAGTTAAGGAAGGGTATAGGTAATATACTGTCATGATGATAGTCAAGATGATAACAAATTCGATCAAAGTTATAATTGGGAGGGATGCGAAATAGGAAAATTAGGTGACTACGTACGAGGCGGCACGGATCGCTAGTGTGGAGGGGGGGAGGTGGTATGATCACTGAAACCCTCCAAACATAAGCTAACTATACTTATTTGATCGTTACTGGAAGACAAGNAAGTAGGATAATATTGAAATACTTAAACAAAGTAGAAGTACCTCAAAAGTGTACATTACCTAAGGAAATGTACTTACTTCCCACCACTGTGTTAGATTATAATTGATGAATATAAACAGTTGTTGTGACTCACTGTAGACAGTTATAGGCAGGACGCTGCAACACTGCACATTAGTAGTGTCATTGGTATAATAGCACATTGTAGAATTGATCCACTCAGTCATGTTGTTGACCGTCCATGTAATCTCAGTTCCATTTTTTTTCTTGGTTCCAATAGGATTTTCAATATCAAATAAGGTAACATGGCATCCAGGCTGACACACGGAGCAGAGGGCGGAGGTCGGCTTCCCAAACTGCGCCACCAGTCTGGATGGAGTGAACCGAGGTTTATCTGCACAGTTTTGATCTGTAACACACATTTCATAATATCGGTTTAAACAGCTCAATGTGAAATTAGCAATCGGATTACACTTCTAAAGCACTCAACCCTGTCATACATCCTTATATGTACGACATGTATTTGTACTACATGGAGTAGTTTGTGTTTTGATGAATCCAAGATATTTGCATGTTCAAGTTCTAGTGTATTATACATTAAAAAGCTTACATTCAAATGTAATTAAATGCATCCCACCTGAGCATTAAAATAAATATGTACCATTAATGATTTAACATATAATACCAATAAAGAAAATACTAAAACAATAAGAAGACGTCACTTGATCAAACATAATAAGGGGGTTTTATCGATCACTACACAAGAACTAAATACTTGAAAAAACAAGACAAAAAAACAGTGTGATTTTATAAAGGCAAAATATAATTATAGTTCAAAATAAAAAATACAGGGAGAAGTTTGAATCCCCAAAGAAAACAGAAGATAGAAATCTCTTAACTTACCACAGGCTAAGGGTAATTCATGTGGGCTGGGCAGGAACGTAATCACAGAAACAACCAAAAGAATCAAATGGAAAAACATTTTTCCTAGTTATTTTGAAGTAAGAGAAAAACCATCAAGCGTCGAACATGAACCCCAAAGGCAGTCAGGAGGTGAAATGAGTCCACTCCGTTTTTTGGCTTTCTATTGAAGCGACTCGAACAATGCTGGCAGCGCAGCCTGTTTTAACATCACACATCCTGTCTACCTTTATTTTTTTCCTACTGTATTTTGAAAGCGAAAGTGAATCATTTCAACGTTCCATGTCTCCAGATTCAATACAAAAACAAAACATTTAATCTTGTACCCCTATTATCTTTCCTTTATTGCCTGTCCTGACTCTGAAGCATTTACCCACGATGCCACTTCTGCTGTAACACCAATAGAGGAATTCTGATGCTGATAGGAAAGAGATAACATGAGTATCATATATAAGAGGTAAGGTTGAATTACTTAAAAATCAGGGCAGCTAACTCTATAGGAAAACCCAAGAAAGGACAGAAACTGAACACAAGTCAACATAAATGCTCCACCTGTATTAAGCTTATAGGGCTGCCGGCAAAAAACCCTAAAACAAATTAAATTAGGTTTTTTCATTTTTTTTGATTATTTAAAAAGAGGCTCTATTTTCCTTTTTTGGTTTTCCCTTTAGTGAGTTATATAAGTTTGTGTGCATGTAAATGGTCTGCAAAGGCTAAAATCCCTGTGTTCCCTCCAGAAGGAGTTTCTCTCCCACACACTGCCCCCTGCCTGAAACGCCTCCATTGGACACTTTTGTTTACTTCTGTAACATAATTACATCACTATGTAACACTCTTGCTCCTATTGGCTAGCGCTCCAACACATTGTACGTGATAGGCTAAGGGGCGGGACATCTCTAAGCGGTTGACCAATCACAACAGAGCCGGCCAGCACACCAATCAGAGCAGACTGGGCTCTGGTTTCAGACAGAGGGTGAACAGAGGTGCTGCAGCACAGGCAGTATGAGAAAAATAAAGAGCTTTTTGAACATTAAAGCATATGACATGTCACAGTAGAGACACTAAATACAAATATGAACCTGAAAATGAGAATGAAACCTCTCTGTAAAGGGTCAAACAAAGTTGATTTAGAATTGTTTATATCACTATGCATTCAAACAAAGTTATTATCAAAGGAAATGTATTTATGCATTTACACAATTGACAGGGTTGAAGAGTAAACAGGAAGTATTTGCACCACCCTTCCTCACATTCAGCTCTGGGTTCATTAGTACCTTTAGGACCTTAACTAAACCTTCCACCATGTGACAACACGTAGAGAAACATTGATCTGTGCACATAATATTTGCAGGACGTTAGGGGGTCTAGATACAAGGAATAAAGAGAACGTTTGGTACTTTGGTGAGTCAAAGTAAAGGACGTTTTGTGCATATAATTCACAATTGCAGAAGCAAACATTCCTCAACTTCCCGGTGATCTTTATCCAGCACCAGGGCTTCCTGAGAGCCCTCCCATGAATCACAGGGTGTGTTCAATTTCCACAGGTTCGCCAGTTATTCTTCCCTGGTGATTTTACCGTAACATCTGTGGAAAGTATTTCAATTCTGATTTCATTACTGTTCGTATATTCTGTGTGTCTATCGGGTTTAGAGACAGAGGAAGGCAGAATATCACAGGAGCAATCTTGGGCATATTTAATGAAACAGGGTGTGAGTCTTTGGAAAAGAGCAGCAGGGCGACACAATAAGAATAGGAAGAGAGTCTGACTTGATCAGCGTTTAGGGAATGGTAGGAGTCTGTACTTTATGTCTCGGATAACAAAACCACCTAGTGGAAGTGTAGTGATTCAGACAGTGTTCCCTTAGAGGCGTCCTTTCCATCCTTGAGTAAACTGACCACCTCGCTCTGACATATGTAATGAATATCTCCTTTATATTTCGTGCATAGCATAACAGTACAGAAACTACTGATAAACTGTGAAATTACCCAAATAGTGAACACAATCATGGTGTAATCCAACACCCACTGAGCGCAAACGGACACAACTAATCTGTATTCTTGTAGTTCAGACCTGGAGCTGTTTGATCAGATTTGATTCATGACATCACTTCCCCTCTGGCGTTTTCACTCACCCTACTCATCAACACAGACATACTTGTTACTCATGTATGAGCGTGTGTGACCTCTGTAGGATGTGTTGATATATAGGCTATCTGCAATTTGTGAGCAAAATCAATTGTGAAACTTGATGCTGCCACTATTTAGGATCTGTGTGTAAGCAAAGCTTGGCCGTGCCCCTACCACGAGGAAACGCAAATAATTAATCTCAACTATATCTGTAGGAACCGCATTTAAGTTTATTTTGTTTTGATTTATTTGGAACCTTTATTAATGCATTTTTCTGTTTCAGTAAGAGGTGTGCTTTGCTCAGGTGAAGGGGGCGGGGCTAAGGCTTTAAAGTGGAGGTGCGGTGTGTGACGGGAGAGCAGCAGGCAGCAGCAATACCGTCATTGACACGCAGACGCAACCTTATGCTTAGTCAAATACAGATTATTAGGATCTGAAATTTATGTTAAATATTGTTTTCGTATTTTGTTTATGTTTTACTGGAAATAAACCTTGAAAAGCAACCGAAACGTCCAGTGGATTGTGTATTGCGAGTCTGACACTGCTTTCCGAGGCCCAAGCTACATGTGGCCAAGAACAAAAACGTTTGAGGTGAAGGTTACAAGAGAAAACTGTTGGGATTTTGGCCACTACAATTAGTCAATGACGTAGCTGTGATTGGAAACACGAGGACTATTGGAGGATCAAAGGTATCGTAGGAATCTAAGACAAAGGAAACGCCGGCCCGACGCGTGGCGGACCAAACAAATAAACATGGAGGAGGTATGCGCTTTCAGATCAAACATCACCAGTGCTTGAATTGGGCCGGTACTCACCGGTACGCAGTACCGGCACTTCTGATTTTTACCCATGTGGTACCGGCACTTCTTACTGAGTACCGGCAAGGTGCCGGTACTCAGTAAAATGCCGGTACTCAGCCGCCGGCAATATACGTATATATTGTAAACGCAACGCAGCGCAAATGTGGGTCTGACTCTGCCTCACAGAGGGTGACTGGCTGTCTACATGACGTGGCCTGCCGACATTGCCACTTTCATACAGATCATACTAATGCCCTCCATTGGTCTCTGTGTGTCATTCAAGCTCGGGAGGGTGTGTGTTGGTGTATGTGTGGCGCGAGCGAGCGAGAAAGCGCGCGCACCGGTTACGTGTATTGTTGTTAGCATCTGGTGCTAGCTAGCTGCGCTAACGGATATAAGGAGCTGTTTCAACAACAAGGTGGAGGGAAAGTCCTTTGCTGTCAGACTGAGAGGCTGATAACTACAGCTCTGGTGAGGTAAATTACTCTCTGAGTCTTTAGATAGTTAACTTAGTTTAAGTTATCTCAGTGGGTCTCAAACGGTTCGGTCACCATTTATGTAAACACATATTTCCATTTGAGGGGGTA